ACTGTGCTATTCTCTCGGATGCACAAAATTCGGTTAGCTGTAAATTTTTAAATTCCCCTTTTGACTTTAAACCTTTCGATAATAAATAGCCCTTTATGCTTTTGATTGTCTATTAAATTCAGAGTAATTGCAAATTCCCTTGGCGTCAACGGATAATCCATTCGCTCAGAGTTTGTTTCACACCCCGTCAATTATCATATTAAGGGTTTTGCGACCATCGGATAAAATATCGTATTAAAAATGGGGAAATATTATCGGATTTAGTCTAATACCTTGCATTCTTCGTAATATTCCATTATGTTAACTACCACGGCGTATATCATAAAATGGAGCCCTTCTACGTCTAACCATCACTCCCAACATGAATCAAATCCGGGGCGTAGTTTTCAAATGAATCATGTAATCTCCAAATCCATTGAACTGCAGAGCATCTCTCTCCTTACTAAGCTCTTACTGGTATAAATCGAGAATGCAAACGTGTGTTTGTCGTCAAATTCGATTCTATTGTGCTCTCATAATAGAGACGTTGCATTTAAATGAAAGCATATATTACTCGATTTGATTTGATAATCTTTACCAATTATTAATGCTGACTGATAATGATGCATCAATGCGCGCACACAGAGGAATGGAATATGAAAATGACGGACGATGATCGACTGTCGGAAAGTCATCGGGCGACCAAATTTCTTAAAGCTAGCGAAAGTAGAAGGAAGAATTTAGAGTTCTATGACCATCCGATGAGCTATAGTCACTGGGATGGACTTCACTCGTCACTCCGTATTTCCAGTGGTTTTTTTCGTTGAAGATGCCAGCCAAACGATTTTGATATTCTCAGTTTAAATATTTATACCATTGATTCCTATCTTATTCTTTTGTAAATAATTTTGCTTCTAGTTATCCACCAGTCATACGTCAATTTCACCTTCCGTGGCAACAACTCTTCTGCACCAGCTCGAATCCCTTCTTCCTACTGACACTCCTTTGCTTCATCTGCCTGGAATATTAGCTCTGCGTGTCTGTCTGCACATGCTTGCTTGTCCTACTGGGTCCTCCTATCCAAGCGATTATAGCGGCCTGACCTTTACTGGAATTAACTCGGCCAAAGATATTATCCAATCTACCTTGAAAGCTCATGCCGATGGAGCCTTCGGTGTGAGTATTTTTCTTTGGACCTGTTTATATTTGTGCTATTTTATTCTGTTTGTCTTTTGTTAGCTATTTCCATTCTGTTTGATGATTTTATACATTCTTTTATTTAAAAAATATTACCTCTTCTTTATGATTAAGATATAAATATAAGTATTGAATTGACTAAATAAATGGATAAGCATGGATGATGAGTTGAGGTTTTACAGGCTTGGTAAATATCTAACCTATATATT